AGGGAGGGGGGGCTTCTACTCTGGGAAAAAAAAAGTGCCAATAGTTTGACAGGAAGATAAAGGAAACGATGGGAGTGTAATCAATCAAAAAAACCTACGACACAAATAGAGGAAGACAAGAGACACCGTCCGCCCACTCGTCCCGACCACCATCACAGTCCGCCATTGTCGGCCTGCTACTCTTCACCTCGCCATTGGTTGAAAAGATCAAAAGTCCCCAGGTGCCCCTCTGGCTTTTCGAGGTTGCCAGGCGTGTCGTCAGGGGAGAAAACAGGGGAGAGTGCCCTCCATCCCTTCATCTGTGGATGGAGTACTGTACAATCAATGTTCTGGGCTAAATTGGCCAATTTCAGTAGAGCACCAGGTGCTTTATTACGACAGTGGAGATACTTCCGCAGGAGAAACCACAAAAAGCACAGTATCCCGTCCCCAGGAAACTCTCATAACCCCTCCATTAAATCCCCAAATCAGCCATTTCTTTGAGCAATCCAAGATCCAGCTGCCCCCTCAGACCGTTCAGACTTAAAAAAAGTACTTCCTTTCTTAGAGTGGCATCTATGAGGGGAAACGAAGCCACACTATGTCTGTAAAAGCATTTGAGACAATGGCAGGTCTATTCGCAGTGAGATCACCCCTATGAGAACATGTTCCCTTGTATGGGCAGAAAGAAAAAGATCGTAGCCAAGTCTTGAAGCCCGAGGTTGGTGTGACATCAACAACAAGCCAATGAAAAGGATTGCTATCTGCCAAATGTTGATGCTAGAGGCTACAGACAATATATCATATTCATACAGAGACGTTCATATGTGTGTGTGTGTGTGTGATGAGATGAGAAGGAAAACCGGTATTCAGACACCTGCTAAGAGAGAGGAAACGTTCTTATAGCCTGCGCTGAGTCACAAACAGGCCTCTGAAGACAAATAAAGCTCCTAAATTCAAAATGTATGCAGCTTTTATTCAGATGTTAAGGATAGAAAATTTGACAAGTGAGAAACGAACAATATTTTATTACAACCCAACACACTGAAAAAAGTGAAACGTTGACTTTAATTCAATGTTAAATTAGGGTCAACTTTTTAGTATTGCTTTCAACTAACCTAATAGAGTTACGTGACATTTGTTGACGTAATACATTTCATTAAAGTCAACGTGTCACTTTTTTCGGTGCAGGAAGCGGTGCCGAAGACCTCTGAAGAAGACACAACATTATAAAGGAGTGTGTTGTGGTGGTGGGAGGATATCTGTAGTCAGTGTGTGGCAGTGTGCGGTGAAGCAGAACGCCCTAACCTGCCCACGCGGTGACAATCTCCCCTGCAGATCACTGAAAGGTTGCGTGCCTGCCTGTGCACCGGGCACCTCTCCTGGGAGCAATAGAAGACCTGTGTAGGAGGACATAAAAGAGTGAGAGCACCCTGGGCAAAACCCCAAACCTGGACACAGCTGGCTTTTCTCAAACCCGAACAATCCAGCCTTTGTTTGAGAGAAAGCTGCATCAATTCCTGCCCGCCATTCACCTTTTGCAGCTCAAGCCTGCTCTTAGCTCGTACTGACGGATGGATCTCTGTGCACGTTTCATCATAAATACCCATAACACCTTGATAATATTAGAACAATAGCCGGTGAACCATAATCCAATACCTGCTCTCCACAGATCACAAAACAAGGCATTGTCAATTTCCCCAAAGTGCAATAGCTTGTAATGTTAGGGAGGTCATGCTCATGCTTGTTCTTTAATCCAATTGTGGAGGGAGAACAGGAGTCGGGATCTCCGCTAGGTGGCGACCTTGGACCGACGCGGCTCACCTTGAGCAGCGCTGCGCTTCACTGGAGACAGAATACATGCAGGGTGAGGAGAGCAGAGGACACACTGACTGACGCATTGCATTTGGATATACACATATACAGTTATGGACCAGTGTGTGTGTTAGGGAAGCAGTGATTAAAGCAGGTTTGTCATCAGTGTTTTGGAAATGTAGGCACCGTTTTCACCACTAGAAATGACATTTGCTCGCATTGCTTTCTTATAAAGTCAATCTGACTCAGAGTTTAACATCACCATTGCACACGCTTTGTGGAAAATGCCACCTCACGCTACTGGTAAATGAGAGAGTGACTTGTTTCGGGTGTGCAAGAGGGGGGGGTAATGATTATTCTCCCCTCTAACCCCAGTCCACTATACGCTTCCTATATGGATTGACGGGCTCCGCGTCAGAGCGCACCAGTAGACCCGCCTCCTGGCTGTGGAGCTGCGTCTCTCTCACCCTGTCCGCTCCAAAACCCATATTCCACTGGGAGAGAGAGAGAGAGGGAGAGAGAGAGAGGGAGTGAGAGAGTGAGCAGGACCTGGGAGAAGAAGAGCAACGAAAGAAAAAGAGGAGAGAGAAAAACGGAACAACAACGACACAAATGGCACTCATGGCAGGGATTTTGTTCACCGCCACCTTTCTTGTTTTTGGGATTTCTACATTTGTTTCGCCAGCACGGATATACCCCCCGAATGAAGGTAAGGTTGTTGGGAGAACGAAAAAAAAAGCTGCCGCGGACTTCTGACTTCATCCCCACGGCTCCGTGGCCCCGTGTGTTTGTGCTGCGGAGACTCAGTGCTAGTTGCGAGAGGTTTAATGTTGGAAAACACCGACGGTCACCTTTACGCAGCGACTTTTTGTGAGCTGCATGTGAACAGAAGGAGAAGTGGCTTCCCAAATGCGCAGCGGCTGGTTGGGTCTCGGCTCGGGCTTTGGAGCAGCCGATAGCCAGAAATGCTTGCAGCCGCGATACGTGCTGATCTCTGTTTGGAGAGAAGGTCAAGCTGCTTTACGCATACAATATAAGTTGAATGCGTATAGCGTCTATTAAAAAATAGCCTACGTGTTTTTTTTAAATAGCAGTGAAGTGTACGAGTCAGTGGGAGACTCGCACACGGGCCGAGCAGATCTTTATTTATCAATTTCAGATTATCTCTCAGTGATCGCTCCTGCTATCAGAGTGGGTTTAACTGAACGGTGATTATGGGAATGACAGTAAACCCGATTGTAAAAGTTGAATTGTGCAGCGTTGGTGTATTGGATGCACACCGAATACAAAAAATAAAAGGTGCATGGAGAATAAAAACAGTTCTTCGGTTTTATGCTATCAAGCTTTCTTAAAGGCGACTAAACGTTAAAGTGCACGATGTTTAAATGGAGCAACACACACAAGAGCTAGGGAGATTTCGGGACTCCAGTTGCCTGCTCGAAGTCCCGGGGTGCAGGGTGTCCAGTTTCCAAATGTTAGGCCCAATACAGGGTCTAAACGCACTACTTTCCAGTGCACATACTAATGAATAAAGTACTTTATTTGATCTAAAACCATCACATTAATGCATGGAGTCTGTCTCTTGCAGAATGATGTTTCTTTATCTGCTCGGCACAGAGCTGTTTGACACAACAAGTACAAAATGCTGCAGCCCGGGCTCAGGGAAGTTACATATCAAACAAATGTTTCAAATTTAAAAAGGAACAGTCTGTATTGTACCTAATAATTTATATGGTGGACTTGCATAACGGGCTTGTTTATTAATTTATACCGAGCAGCTGATTTACTAACACTGGATTCAAACCCCTAAAAAACAGGAATACTTAATGCAGTTTTATTCAATCGAACATATGTTTTAATTAATTATTCACAGACGTCCTGTTTTACCTTTTTCTCGATAAATTGTTGCGTGAGACAAGACGTCTGTCTCAAGTATTTGAAATGCGTTTTGTTCTTCACCGTCCCACGTTTCCCACTGCACACGGCTCCCTAATTGATTCCGATCACATCAAACGTGCTCCGGGCCGACGGCTGAGCAAAATGAAACAGCATTTCTTTGAAGACACTGGGGAAAGACATTTGTGTTTCTAGCTAAATCTTTATGCTAACGAAAATCGATCAAAAACGACATGCGTTTGTCACAGCAGGGAATTACGCAAAACAAAACACGTACAAGACTCGATGGCCTGGTATTTATTCTCTTTGTGTACATCCATCATGAGAACATGTCTCTACTTAAAAACATTAGGGATGAATACAAAGCAGTGTTTTCAATTCATTATGCCTTCATTTGAAACCAATTTGTATTTCTCAGTGTCAGACCCAAGCGGATCATAATGTAAATGCCAATGCTGATGTTTTTTTTTTATTTGCTCACTTCTCCCATTCTTGTTTTCCAGTCACGTTATTGGACTCCAGATCCGTACAGGGGGAGCTGGGATGGGTCGCCAATCCGACAGAAGGAGGGGTAAGTTCTGCAAAGAAGTGTACCCTTGTTAGGACGCATGGTCCCCTATTGAGCAAAAATGGAGAGATAATATCCACTATTGGCACGAGATGTGTGGAGTGGACCGCCAAACACATACACAGCGCTCTTTGATAAGATTTAGTCCTGGTGAGCCTTTTATGGGAATATCGTTGTTGATGATTTACTGTGCAGCTGTCTAGGGATACAGGCTAAGGGCGAGATGAAGGCATTTTACACTAAAATATGGTGAAATAGAATTTGCCGTTTTGTTCTAGGATACAGAGACCCTCAAAAATAACCTCCAGGGCCCCATGAGGTCCCTCAAATCCACTTTGAGAACCACCGGTCTATAGGGACCCCCCCCCCTGAGCCCCAACCCACTGCTCCCCTTTCTCCTCGCTCCCCTTCTCTCTAACCGCTCTCTGTAATGGTCAGATGCAGGAGGCGATACTGCTGCGGGCATCAGGTTTCCTGAATAGACGGTGGATTGAATCGGTCTTTGTGGAGAAACTTTATATCCCTTTCCACCATTGAGTGGAAGAGAGGGAGAAGGAGAGGGGCTTGGCAGCTGAGAGAGGGTCCTCTGGAGTGGATGAATAAGGGGGGAAAGTGCAGAGGGGTTTAGCTCTTGCCGCAGGTCGACTGGATCTCGCTGTAAAGCAACGGGACACAGGGTCGAAGCAAATGTGTGATCCTGCAGTCTAATTGGGATATGGCTCCGATAAGAGAAAGAACGAGGGGCCCCACAGCGTTAGGATGTGCCACGGGCATGAGACGGTTCAGGAAAGGTATGAGGCACATGCTATACCTGAACCAAGTCTTAATTTAAATGGGATCTCTCAGAAAACAAGGCCAGACCTAAATTCAACAGTCAGCTCGAACTCCACCGTTTGCTTCCAAAGAGAAATGTGATGGTAAACACAAGGCAGCCTTTTCATTCTTGCACATGCCATACCTTAACCCTTAGGAGTCATGTGACCTGTTCAAGCCGGCACCGCATACAAACTGCTGCTTCTGTCAAAAGTACTGGCTTGAAACTCTACGCCAGTGTTTGTGTCACGCAGGTAGACCCGGTGAAACCGTAGATACGACGGTTTAAAGTTCATACAAAAATATACTACGTCTTCATTTAAATGGGATTTCTCAGGAAACAAGTAAACACCTCAATACACAATTCAACAGTGTTCCCACAGTCAGCTGTAACTCCACAGTTTGTTTCCATAGAGACATTTGATGATAAACACAACGTTACTTTGAATTATTCACTAAATTAATACAAATTAGAGACAATCACGTGAACTAATGAATCGGCATCCAGAGGGAACAGATTTCCAACCTTGTGCAGCTGTTTACAGGCTCTGCTCCCAAACGATGAACTTGGCCGATGCTGCATTCA